CCTTGTTGTTGGCCTTCGCCTAATGTTTCCGTGAGCTTGCTCAGGAATGACCTGAGCCGTTCGTCCCGGCAGGCTTGTCCCGGCAGGCTGGCTGGCGGGGGAGGAGCTCCAGACTGCCGGAGGCAATCTGGAATGCAGGGAGGGAGGGAGTTGATCTCGGTTGCAGGGGAGCGGAGGAGGGGCTGTCTCTGGCTGTCGGAGCCCCATGTAAGTTTCACCATCCGGCCAGCTGCCCTGTTAGCGTCTGGGGGGAAGTCCGGACATTTACAAATTCCCCCCGGACGCTATTTTTAGCTCAAAAATCCGGACATGTCCGGGGGAATCCGGACAAATGGTAACCCTACAGAACATTCCAGAGCCCAGCGGGGTTCTAGAACGCTGGACAGCAGCCCGGGGCGCTCTCCTGGCCGAAGGGGAGGGACTCAGTCTCTTCCCCGACTGGGGAGGGCGCGGAATCCCGCTGGGTCTCCGCAGCCTCGCTTGGGCTCGAGGAGGCGGCGGCGGCGGCGGCTCCGTGGAGCTGGTAGTCCGGGTAGGGGTTGCTGAACGCCTGCTGCTCCATCTCCGCCTCGCCCCCCAGCTGCAGCTTCAGTCGCTTGGACATGCTCTCTCCCATGGCAGCCTGCCCCCAGCCTGCCCCCCTGCTGCATGGCGAGCTGCCAGGGACACGCGTCCGCCCCGAGAGCAGCAACGCGCTCCCTGCTGCAGCGGCAGCACTACGCCAAGGGCTGGGGCAAAAGTCGACACTAGCGCCGGGGAAAACGCGCCCTGCCTTGATAATAATGCAGTGGGGCCGCCCCCTCCCCCATGGCTCCTCCGGCCACGGCCATGCTGCGCCCCCCCCCGCCCCCCCCCCCCCGCCCCCCCCCCCCCCCTTTTCCTCCCCCCCCCCCCCTTGCCTGCAGGAGCCCAGCGCTGGCCCGGCAGGACAAGCTTCAGAGCGGAGTGTGGGCCCCGCCCGCTGGCGCCATGGTAACCCCTAACTAAGGCACCGCTTTTGGAAAATGTGCTGAGGGGAAGTGGCTGCTTCCCCTGCACCCCCCTAGCTACACTACTGCTTCACACACTTGCAGCTTCCCAGCACATTCCTTCTTCAGCCAAACCTTTCAATACCAGTCTCTGCCAAGGTGATCTTTAAATTAAAGTACTTGCTTCTGGCCATTAAACACTGACATTAACCACAGGCATATATTTTCTTTAAAAGCAGAGGAAGTGTAAAACAGTTCAAATGACATCAGCATTTCACAATTAAAGCTCAGAAGTCAAAAATGCAAAGGCCAAGGTCTCAACAGTAATAACGAGAGACTGTCAATCTAGTCATTCATTTCAGACCCTATTGTGGTGCCCCTAACCCCCTTCCAATTTTTGTGGTTTTCCAAGCCCATTTTCCTATTGTAAATCACACTTCTCTCGCCCCTGTGGCTGCAGAAAAGACCCAGGCACAAAGAGGAAACCGACGAGAGAGAGAGAGAAATCAGTGCAATTGACTATACATAAAAAGTGTTCAGAGGTGCTGAGCAGTTTCAGCTCCCATAGACTTAAAACAGAATAGTGGGTACTCAGCACCTCTAAAAATCAGACCCCAAGTGCTGTCCAAGGCATCAAGTGAACCAACTGTAAACCTTCCCTTAATCTCTTCCAGTTAGTCATCTCAGGCATTCCTTCTCGTGAGCCTGGGTGAATGTATTTTTAGAAGGAAATGTGATTGAGTCAGCAGTGTCCCTTTCAAAGGGCCACAGAGCACTTCCTGTTCCTGTAAGACATAGGCCAGAAGAAATCCAGGGTGCACAGCGTGCTCAAGCTACTGCTGGAACCACAGCTTCTGCATTTCCTGATGCTTCATGGTTTCAACCGTGGAAACTCAGAGCCCAGTTCTGTACTCTCCCGAGCAGCTCTTGGGTGGACGTGTCAGACTGCTGAAGTCAACAGGATCCTCGGGTGAGTAAGTAGGCCGCTCCAGCAGATCCCTTTACGTTGCGTTCATGCCACCTTCTGCACGTCACTGCTCTTTAATGCAAGAGAAGGCCGGGGACAATCTGCCCGAGAGAACATTCAGTGTAAGAGTTTCTAAAACTTCAGAATTTTGTTATCCTTAAATGTATTTGTTGAATTTTAAAAAAGAAAAGACTACTCCCATTTAATGCGGAGGGATGGTGGCCACAGCAGAGTGGAAGGGAGTCTGTTCCCCTTGCACAACTGCAGCACTGTATAAATGATACTCCTTCATCTCCCCAGGTTACTTATACCATGCCCATCCCGTAGGCACCAGAGCTTCTAGCTGGCAATTGTACTCACACGGATTCTAGTTGCACGGGCAGCCCTGGGACTGCCTTGGCGTTGTAATTCACCATTCAGTGATATGCAACTACTTATGTGCAGCTAAGCACCACAGGATGGAATGTCCAACCTTCCCACTGCTGGGTTTCAGGGACGCATTTGGCATGGCTCACGTTGGTGACTGAACCTCCCATGACAAAAGGGGACCCGCCTCCAAACCCAACAAGATTCCAGTTCCTCTCCCCTTTAATGTTGCAGCCCCTCCTCGCCTGATGTCATCACAATGAGGAGTGCTCAGAGAGGAAGGCCGGATAATGCTGGCTCCACAGCCCAACACCATTGCATGATTTCCACAGATGAGGTCGCTGGGGGCAACACAATGAATGGGGGCGTTGAGCAAGCAGCATGCATGGTGAACCTAGCCTCTGCCAGCCTTGAGATCAGAGGGCCAAGACCCCATCCTGCTTCTGCTGGAATCAATAGGCAAAACTCCCATGGCACAGACTTGTGCACATTCTGCTCTGTTACCCTGCACACATCCATAGTAACCTCATGGAAGTCTATGGAGTTACTCCCAATTTACACCGCAGCAACAGCAGGATTTGGCTCTCGGTGTGGCGACGGTTTGTGCTGCTAGTAGAGCTGTAAGGCTGTCATCACTGTGCGCTCCCGGGGCCTTTATACCAGCCCTGGCTAACGGGGGCAGGAAACGCCTCACTGAGTCTGCCAGGCCCAAAGGAAGCTCACTCTTTCCTAGGTTAATAGTGATTTTCAACGCTCAACCACTTCTGCTTTTAAAGTCTGTGTCAGCATTTATGGGGTTATGACAACAGCATCTCCCAGTCCTTCCCTCCTCTGCCATCCCTTCCTTCCTGGGGAAACAGGAGAAAAAAAAGCTCCTCAAAGAGTAATGGTAACAGCTTTTAATTTGACAAGAATCAATACATCAGTTCAGACAATACTGGTTTTGCTTCTTGTTTGGAGTTTCCTTCACATACCAGCAGGGAGAGGGGAACTTTGTCCGGAAGTACAGTTTTTCCTTGGGGCTTAAAGCATGATCAGTGTGCAAGTCAGTGCTTCTTTTTTTGTTTAAAACTCTTTTCCCGATGATTTATTTACAGTTACAGTACCTCTTAGTGATCAACAGAAAAAAAAAATGTGTTAACTGGGGATACTCGATCCCAAGTTGAGAAAGGCAGATCTCTGATATTTATATATTTATACATATATATATATATATATTTATGTGTATACACAGATACATTTCTCTCTTCTTTAAAGTATTAAAAAAATTGATCAACCTCCATTCTATAAAAAATACCTACTCTACAAGATAGAAAAATTTCCCTCTCAAAGTATACACCGATTTACACCCAAAGCTACTCTGGAAATGTACATTACGTGGCTTCTTCCCGCAGGCTCAGGGAGGGAAAAGGTCCACAAGGGGACAGCTTAGAGAATGAATGAGCAGGAGCTCTTGGCTTGCTGGGAGATGCTACACAAGGATGTGGGGAGGGAGAAGGAAGATGATGGCTCATTGCTCAGGTGTCCAGGGAAGAGAGAACGCAGCCCTCGCTGGAAGGCAGGTTGTCTCATCTCTCTCAGCAGTTATTACAAAAGACAAGCCCAAGGGCATTGTGTGTTCACAGAATGCGACTGGGGACTTCTCAAACACCCCAATGAGACTGGAGCTCCAGACCCTGCATGGGGGAGATGGAGTTGAAAGCAGTGACCTGCTGCCATCTGTCCCTGCAGTTGCTTTTTCTCTTACTTTAGTTTTCAAATGAAAACTGGGTAAGTCTGGGTTAAAGGCTTAATAGAAGGCAAACCCGTATGAAGATGGACATTTTGCACAGGCATCCCATGAAACCGTCTCTCCATTACAGTGGGAAAGACACGGACTGTCAGCACCACTGTGTGTTTTTGGGATCCCCCAGCTATTCTCACTCACACAGGCTCTTCACCCACGTTAGAATCATCCTTTGGGTCTGCACGAATCCAGTTATGCAATTTCTTATGCCCTGAAGAAAGCCATCTGGGACCAAGGGCTTTTACTTTCCAGACATGGAATAAAATAAAGGAGAGATGCCAGCTCAGTAGTTGCGATGGCCTAAAGGGGATATTAGCGGAGCGAAGGGGCTGTGGTGTTTATTGCTCTCCAACTCTCAGCAGAGGGAGGATTTGGATCTGGTTTCCCTGGTAAGCAGCTGGACTAGCAGCTCAATGTCCCAGTCCTATGAGCACATTTAGGATGTTCCAGTGCAGACCAATGCACTAGGATTTTCCATATTTTGTACAGATTTAGGATTCAGCCTGGCTAACAGGGCCCTTCTAAAAGCTAACCAGGTGATTTAAAAATGAAATCACCCCCGTTTAAAATAGAAATCTACTGTATATTCAACGTGCCAACTGTGCCTGGAACCAGGCCGCCTTTCAGTTACAGGTCAAATCAAAATCAAAGCCAAGGAAGTTGGATCATTTGGGTATGTGCTAGCCTGAAGGTTGTTCTGGTAGCCCGAGGGGAATAGGCATTTTTAATCAATGACTGTTTTTACTTATTGAATGATGCATTGTACAGGTTTTAAAATGCATTAAACCGGATGCATTGTACAAGACTTTTAAAATGCATTTCACACTAGCCTGAATGGGTCTGAAGTTAATATGGTTTTTGTTTCCCAGAGGCCTTCGATTTCAGCCTCCAGTCAATTGTACCCCTTAGCTTCCCAGCACCACCTTCACTGGGGTGTAAGACTCAGTTGTAATCACTACACTGCAGGTGGCCTCGGTCATCTAAGAAGTCAAAACAGCAGCCGCTGGTCCCTGGTTTAGAGCCACTAAGCTACTCAATGAATGTGATAGCAAGCCAAGTGCATCGCAGCACAAGAATGGGGAGAACCCGGGCATGGGAAAGGGCTCTACCTCCAGTGCTGCAGTATCAGCAGAGCCCACCTCTGACTGGATCATTGCAATACACTTCATGGTAACACTGACATTCATGCACATAGGGGACGATGGCGGAGGTCCTTGGCTCTCGAAACAAGCGTGTGAACGGTTCATGTTGGTCCCCTCTGCTAGAACTTACACTGTTGCACCACTAGGGGACCAGCCTGAACAGCTGCGTGCCCACTTCTGGCTGAGCACTACTACGGCTACATGGGTACTGTGGGCCATACAGCAGAAGTGAGGAGGACATAACAGCTACCAGGCTGGCTCCAACGCACGCTAATTAACCATGAAGAAATCACAGCCCTTCCTTCACTCGCTCAAGGAAACAGCAGGATAGGTAGCTGCTGTCCTTCCATCTACAGCTGTGTGGCTTTCACCCCTCCCACTGATTGCCACCTTACTGCAGTCCTGTCCAACTCAGGTCCCATGGTGTGATAGAGAAGTGCTAACATCTGATGCTGAAGGAGCATGCCACAGAAGAGGAATGGGGAGTGCTGAAGAAAGCCACCCCACTGTATTGTGCGAGGAATGGAGCCAGATGAACAGTGAATTTAAAGAAGATGCCATATGTGTAAAATGTTACCAAGCCAGAGAACAAAAATACAAATGCTGAGGCACGTGTCGAACTCCAGTTACACCCCATATCAAAGACGGCCATTCCCCTGCCCCCTTCCTTCCACCCACTAAATGGAGAGAAGTCATCTAGGGTTCCTGCATGCAACCCCCATGAAGAGGGGGTGTGAGATGGTGCTAGCTGTGCAGACTGAGGGACGAACTTTGCACTAAGTTCAAAAACATTCTACGGGCGTGGAACGAACATTTCTCATTCACAGATCTGCCTCAGTAAGGGTGTCCTGGGCACTTTGGCAAAGCAGATTTCTGGGCTGTGCAGGGAAGGGCAGGAAATTATCTCAGAAGTCAATCAACTAACTTCTCTACCCCACTATTATTCTCTTTTCATTAAAGTTTCAGCAGAATGAATCTATACATGGCCCTGTATTTTGCTTAACTCCTTAGACCTATTCCCCACCCATGCGCCAAAAGGGATTTCAGGGTTACATATTGCAACAGTTCCAGTTAGCATTTGTCAGCCCCACCGTTTGATATGTTCCATCGACAGGGAGGCAGGTCCTTTCCTTCCCCCCTCCCGCGCCACGTTTTGCTTCATTTATTCTCCAGATTCCCTTTCACCCCTTAAAGCCAGCCAGGGTCTTGAAAGAGAGTCTAACAACAAAGCTTTGTTGCTGGTTTTCTTTTTCCCCAGGGCACTGGATTAATTCACCCAGTGATCTGAAGTGATACTTCATGTGCCTTCATGGAGATCAAAGACATCCTAAGTCTCTCCTTTGCCTCTCAGTGCACCAAGTCCACCCCAGATCAGCAGCACACAGTCTGCAGCTTTCGGCTTCCTTTACTTGACTTCCAGGATGGATGGGTTGGTTTCCATGATGGCCACAATGATCCTGTCAATGTAGTCTTGCAGGCGGAAGTTAATCTCCTCCTGCTTTTGAATTGCCTCCATGAGCTGTAGGGGAGGAAGAGGAGGAAGCTGGTTACTGACAGGCCACAAGTCAGGGCCACCTAGCACAGATTTCTTTGCAATTTTCACCCTTGACCATTTGCTCAGCAAAATAACCCACCAGAGTCCGCTACAAAAGGTTCCTTTGTCCCACAAGCTGCGTCCTACACAAGAGATTCCCTGCTCCAATTTTAGATTTAAGAGGAAAAACTGCATGTATCTTAAAAGAGCTACTGGTGACACATTCATTCCTGTTACTGTCCAGCACAAACTCCAATGAAATGTACGTCCTCCTCAAAACCCAGCTTCAGCTCCCTAGAATCCCCATTGTTCTAGCTTCTTGTCTCTCGTGGGGGAATGTGGGTTGGCTGGGGCGGCCATTAGTTGTTCTCTTTCACACTCAAGCACCTTCCACTAACAGAGCTGCTAGTCTGCCCAAGTCAAAGCTAAGCCACAGGCTCATGCTGAATATTAACGTCGTGGGTCCTGTTTTCAAACCTGGAACCTCAGATGGCCAATTCATGCTTCCGGATGCACATATCAGGCAACCAAACACCTGTTTTAGGCACACGACAGCATGGGGCCTTCAGCACTACAGTGTGAAAATTGAGCTCGTCACTGAGTTTCTTTAGGGTTTTGTGTTTATGGAATGAGTCTCACAATCCCTTATAGTCTTGCCTTTCCCATGAGAGACCGCGGATTCTTATACACTTAGACACCTGCCCCAACTGACAGACAAGGTTTACTCCAATGCTCTTCCTCTAGCTGCCAGACAACGGCAGTGACTTGTCCCAAGAGAAAGGAACATTGCATGTATCTCACTCAAATAGCAACATTTCCTGTCTCACTTGGCTCCTGCTGGTGAACTTGTCTGTCCATGTGTGCAAGTGTCTGAGGTACAACTACATGAGAACTTGGTACAACAACCGGGGAAGGGGGAGAAGCATAAAGAGCACAGCCATGACGGACCCAGGGTCTCAGTCCTCCACCAATCGTAAGAGGCTAGCTTGAGATTTCTAAGGTATTAAGCAGACAACGTACATAATCTTCTTTACATTATCTTAGCAAGGGGGACATTACCTCATGAACAGCACAGCTAGCCCTTGGCTATAGCCTTGCCAAGGTGTGCACCACCATCTCAAGGAGTGTCTGGTTTCTATGGGAAGCCATAACCTATGGCAAGTCACCACCTCTGCCAGATGGGCCCCTTTCTAATTGCAGCAAGCTGTAGAAAGGAATTGCTGTGGCTCTCAGCGGGATCCCTGGATTATCAGTAGTGATCTCTACTGCAGAGAGGGCACTTTCAGCTCCTTCCAGGCACACGTAGGTGCTTAGGAGCCAAGAGAGGGGATTAAAGACATCACTCATGCTAAAGAGGAAGCGGTTTGAGGTAAACAGGAATACACTTTCTCTAGACACCACACAGTACCTCGTCTCTGGAGACCGAGCTGATTTCTGCAGCCAGGGACTCGGAGAAGGAAGCTGAGAAGAGGTTCTTGGCTCCCTGAATGCTAAGGTTTATAATCTGTCCATTCAGCTCGTCATTTTGTTCTTTCAGATTGCGGTTATCCTGCTCACAACAAAAAACAAGAATCAATACGTTCATAATTTACATTTCTAGAGCTCCACAGATGGCAGGTGCTGTAGGTGCTCTACGAAAGGGGTGCTCTACATTTTACAGCTGGTGGAATAGAGGCATAGTGAAGTTAAGTGAAATGGCCAAGGTGCCCTGGTGACTAAATGGCAGAGCAAGACCGGAATACAGCTCTCCTGACTCTTGTTCTCCCCTGAGCTAGCAGAGCCCTGGGAAGCTTTACTCAGTAGAGGAATGAATACATGCAACACGCTGGGGAGATTCGAACCCCCTTTTGTTCTGACCAGATTGATCTGTGATGGATCAGCGTTTCACTGGGGTATCTCCAGATACTGAAGTGAGGCTGAAATCTGTGCCTCACCAGCCATGGGGATAGTGTTCTGCAGTCCTCTGTTGAGCTGAGAAAGGCAAAGCATTCCCCCACAGTGAAACATGCTCACGTTGTCTGTGCTACTTGGGCGGGCTATGACGATTCTCTCCCAGAAGAGGCTTTTAGGCCAAACAGACGTGGTAGCTGTGACTATAGTGCTGAGATGTCTCCCCAGTGCCTCTCCTGTTTCCCATACACAATCCTAGCTGTCCTTTGCCAATACTTAATCACACCTCCAGTGGCTAAAGAACAGGCCGGTGCAGTCCCAGGAGTCTACACCAGATAGTGAGGCTGGATATGAAAGTCCAAGTTGCTGCTGTGGTGTTGAATTGATTGGCATCTAGTAGCCAAACCAAAACATCACCCCCAGCATCCCAGTACCTGCTTGAGCCGCCTAATCTCTTGCTCCAGCTCCGTCTCCCGCGTCCTGCTATTGTACTCTTGGAGACCCACGCTGCTGCTTCTGCCTCTTCGCTGCTCCGCTTCAAGTTTGAACAGCTGCAGGTGCTCCAGCTGCTTTCGGAGGTCCTCAATCACCTGCAATGCAATGAAGGAGATGGTGCCTGAGGGCCATAGTGCCACAGCGCTAAGCACTGAGTGAGCCTCCCTGGTGCACCAGAGAGGTATGAGACAGCAGGAGGAGAGAGAACGGTCGGTAGGAAGCATACAGAAATCCCAGTTATGTTCTCAGTGTTATATTCCTGTCCTTCCCCTGTTAACACTGGCTAGGCCCAAGGTCCTACCTCAGGCCTTTGCCATTACACCTTTACATCCACACAGAAATATGCCATGTTGAGCAAGCTGGTGAATCCTGACTTGTGCAGGCCTTAGAATGTGAATGCAGAGAGACACGCTGGAGTGAATTTTAATGTACATGAAAGCGAGGGACTAGGGACAAGCTGATGCCACACACAGGGCAGGTGCTGTGCCAGCTCCCAGTCTAGCTAAGCCAATGCACCCCTGCAGACTGCCTTCCGACGAGGCACTGCCAAACAGCAGTGGTTTGAAGAGTGGCAAACCAGCTAGAACAAGATGATCAAATACACTTTCACTTGTTACTCAATTTAAATCCCCTGTCGCTGGAGGAATAAGGCAAGAGCTGTTCCACCCAGCTGTGTCCATTGTAACTGTGAACACTAGACACACAAGCACGTGGAAACGAAAAAGCACGCAGGTAAGGACAGCTGAAAGCATCAATTAATTTCTCTCCCTCCAGTTCATTGTACTTCTTCCATTTGGCAACAGCAGAGGCCACATTACAAGGTGCTGATAACAAGGTGAATTCATGGTGCAATTTGTATCTAGGGTTATCAAGGAACTAGAACAGCACCGAGCCCTGCGTACAGGACGCAGCATGTTGACCTCTGGGGAAAGTGCTTGTAAATAGCTGCAGTTTCTGCCGAGGACTCCAGGGAGAAGGGTGTGGCTAGGCTGAATGGTGTCAACTGTTCACTCTGCTCACCTCCTGAGTGGACTCCTTCTCCTTCTGGAATTGGTGTCTCTCCTGGGTCAGTTTGTCTCCCATCTTTCTCTTGCTTTCCTGCTCCTCATTGAGTTGAGCAGTGAGGTCTTCTATCTCATCTAACAACTTCTGCTTCTCCTGCAACAAAGTTTAGCAAGATGAAATCACAAGACCTTCCCCACAGCACGGCAAGGCCCCTCTCCTGTCATTCGGAGAGGAAAGCACATATGCACATTGCCACATGGTAACATTCTTTTAGCCGATGTGCATTAGTTTGGACACTTTTGCCTGCTGTGCTTTCATCTGTTGTCTGAGGACATCACAGCCTCAGTGCTTTGCCAGCAGTAAACAAAATGCACCAGCATAGTCAGGAGAGATACGTAATAAATGACTCCTGCCATAAGCTCCATTTGAGCAACTTCTTGCATCTACACAGAGCCCAGATGGCTTCAGTGACTCTGCACAGGGGCAGGACAGAGTTGTTACAGAACTGGGGCCTAAGCAAGGGCTACCGGATGAAAATGACATCAAATCAAAGGAATCCCTTAGTTTAAACAACAGCTGCCCTCTCAGAGAAGTTTATAATAGAGCCAGAACTCTGATCTCATTAAACCCTTTTTTATCCTGGGTTTTAGCTGAGCATGGATTTCACAGAGAGCAAATAGACAATGAAAGAACCCGAGCAATGTAAATTAGTATCTAAAACTGAACTATACCCATGGATTTTCAGAAGAACCCTTTTATTATTCTCCACCTTGGCTCAATGGTAGAACAGGGCAGTCAACTGAATTTGTTCAAAGTTTAAAACCAAGTAAAACTCATTATTTAATTGTGACCAGAGCCTTGTGAGTGACAAGGTTTCTTTATGCTGCTGCTACTTTTCCCCATATGATCAGCCCCTCTCCCCAATGTGTCATGTGCTGCTCGTAAGTTTTAACTTGGTTCCAACTTTAAAGGTGATTGCTGGAGTCACTTATTTTTATACATGCCAAAATTGTCCAAAAAAATTGTAGGTGCTTCATGTTGTATGCCTGGAGAAGTGACCTAGTTTTCAGGAGTGCTGAGCACCAACAGCCCCCAGTGAAAATTCAGTCACTTAATTAGGTGCAGACACTCATCTTTGCAAAATGTGTTACTAGTTTGTAACATGCATTGACATTTTCTGTGATGAAAGGTGCTTTGTCAATGTGAAATAATATTAACAACAAACAGGAAATCTATGTTTCAAACAAAAACAAAGGAGACATCCAGTTTATCAGCAGGGGGTTGCATCCTCCATGGAGAACTAATTGCATCTGTTACTGCTCATTAGCCAGATTAACTCTAATTTAAGCTAAAATAGAGATGAGCAATAACATGTTATGAGGGGAGGACAGTCAAGAATAAACACATTTCAGGTGGCTGAATGCACCTAGGAATCCTCACAATTTACACCCTCTCTCTCACATCTAGTGTTGCTGTTTGAAACGTGGGATTGTTATTATTGTGTGTTATTAAATTATATTCTTTATACAGCATCTTTTCTGCCAGGAAAATCTCAACCCATCTCTCACTGGGTGGAGTTCTACAGCTTGTTTTATGCAGGATCTCAAACTAGATCAGGGATAGTCAATTGTTTTTTGCTAAGGTCCAAATTTCTTGGTCAAGGTAAAGTCAAGGTCCAGACTCCAGAGAAAATTATACAAAAATAATAACAATAATGATAATAAGTAAATAAAAAGATTTCTGGGTCCGTTCAAAAGTATCTGGCAGTCTGGATTTGGCCCACAGTCCACCTACTGTCTATCCCTGGACTAGATGATCAGCATAGGCCCTTCTGGCCTTGAAGTTTATGAAGCTAAGAAAAACTTGGGGGCCAAATTTTAGGCCCTTGAATCCATATTTAGGCACGTAGATCAAATCTTATTTCTTCAGGGAACCTTATATATTGGCAAATATAAGCCAGAAATTAACATAATTTAATACATACCTATTATATTACACACTAACACAATACATCCATATTCCATTATACACACCCCTTTCCACACTCACACAAGTTAGTGTAAAATGTGTCCTCTGCTAAAACTGACAATTAAAAAATACAACGGTGATAAAGTCGGAGTTACACACACAGTGGGTATTGTGACACAGGAGGAAAGCTGACAATCATTTCAGTGAGCTGCACTGGGAGAATGTCCAGCCTGTTAGGGTGAACCTGTGTGCACTGCCAAGTTGGTTAGTAAAGCTTCCCTACAAGAAGGTTCCACCGTCCTGCGTTATGTTTTCAGTCAGCAGGACCCAAGCTGGAAATGAACTTCCCCAACATTTGCCACAAGAGGGCAGAATTTCATTCATAAAACAGCAAAGAGAGTGATACAGGTACCACATATAAGGCAACAAAAAACAGCAGCACTGCTTGTTTGTGTGTATGAGGTTCTATGGGCGGCTGACAGGATTACTGCTGAAGTACATTTAGGACTGCATTGCCTCAGAGAGGTTGGTCCTGGGTCTACAGATTTTACAGCGACAAACACAGTGACTCAGTAAGTATCTACAGCATTAAGGCCTAGGTCCTGGTTTCTATTTAGGGTAGGACTAGAGGAGGAAATGGCTCTTTGCTTGTTTGCCTTGCTTGTTATACAGAACTTGGGATTCAGACAGGTCTGTTGTGCAAAGCGTTCCATCTCTGTTGTTTGCAATTGGCACTTAGCCTAAAAATATCAATGGGGCTCACAAAAGAACATAGCCTTGACCAAAATTCCTGACTCCGAGGGAAAACCACAGCGAGCTCTCATTCTGCATGGGCTACACTGCCTTGGAAGCTGGGCAGAACACAGGTGTCAGTGACTAATACGCTGACAGGTTAACTTGAGGCAAGTTGGAATGTGCACTGCAGAGATGCTAAAGTATGATATGCTCAGGAAAGCCAGCAATGGGCCAGGGTGCTGAGTCATAGTGGTATAATTAATGCCATGTCCCATGCAGAGATGCGCATTCACACTTCACCGCTAAGGGATCTCTGGCACAGAATAGATCCCTCAGCCTGTTTTCAAACACACCAAAGTATGAGCCTGAAGTATCTTTCTAGGTGAGAAGGCTCTCCCTCACCTCCTCCAGCCTCTCGATACTGGCTTTCAGACAAGGGACGCAGGATCTCAGCTCGCTGTTCTCGTCCTCCAGCTGCTGCAGTCTGTGGCAACGAATGAACACACTCAGAAACTCTGCTACCAAAGCCCTGAGACTAGAGAAAGTCATGCAAGCAGCAAAAATAACAAGAGCATATTAGCGAAGACCGGAGCGTGGATGTAGACTGAGGATGGACTCTGCCTTTGTCCGCCCCACTCCTCTTCACCAGCAATCACGGGGAAGGAGGAGACACCTACCCAGACTTAGCTGGAGTTGTTTGAAGCCCTCTGGCTAATTTTTGCCTGCTGTGACAGATATCCCGCCCCCAAGGCACCAGGCCATCCTTCAGGCTCAGCACTGACTACCTTCATTGCCCCACAGTAGCAAATCCCAGCTTTGGGCACCAAAGGGTGAAACTTGTTATCTGAGCACAGGCTCTTTGCATTCCAATTATTTCCCCCCATTTTTGCTGCCTCTCCTCTCGGTATTTTTCCCTCAGAGGCCAAGTGCCAGGGATTGGCACACAGCAACCAGGAGTCCAGAGATGGCCTCTCCTAGTGCTCCAGGTTCAGATCTCTCAAATTCACATGGATAGTCTTCCTCCCATATTACCTTCCTGGTCCTTTCTTGTCAGTCATGGCCAGTTAGGACTGAGCAAGAATGGAACGTTCTGCATTTACTGAATCCCTAGTGAAAACCACCCAGCCAGAGAGAAGAGACATCCCTCGCCCAGGACAGGTTGGCTCTGCCCAGGAAGCCAGACTGAGGGTGTGGGAGAACCTGCAAGCTGGTTACTGCCTGATGAGATCAGTCACTAGGAGCAAGGGTATTACTCAAGCTGGTTTTTCAGCTCAGATCTCCCCATGCTGCTGTTACCATTCCTCTGGGACAGCCCCAGACAGTGCTGTGGCTCTGTTCCTTCTAGAATAACCAAACACTGCTCAGATGTTTCTGTAACTGCTCCTCCCTCTCAGGGCTGTTCAGGCAGAGGAAAGCTATAGTCCTCGCCTTGGGCTCATGCCTGTTGAAGTCAAAGGCAGAACTTCCATTGACTTCCCTGGGAGCAGAGCAGATATTTTGTGCATGTCTTTGCGAAGCTGACTCATGTGACAATGTCAAACTGAGCTCCAGGGACTAGTCATGCAAACGGGCAGGAGGTTCAAGCGAACACCCTCGTTATTCGCACTGTTAGGGGCGGATCAAGAGGGAGCATGCATGAGCTAATGGAATTCAAATGGAAAGTTCTCTCTGGCTGGAGACAAGTGTCAAAGGTGGGTTAATTTACTACTTTGGGACAAAGTTACAGAGGAAGGAGGTAGTCAAAACCAGGGTTTAGAATTACATGGGGGCCAGCTTTATTAGAGGCAGCATAGCCATGGCTGGAGTTTATTCTGGAAACTCACCCACAGCTGTGTTCTAGTTATCACTGATTAGTGATACACCCCCAAAGCGTCACCATGTGGAGGATATGGCAGCTGTACCAACCTGGCTTGCAGATTCTCAATCTCAATACTCTTCTCTCTCTCCATCCTGGTCAGGAGCTCTCTTTGTTTTCTGATTTCCTCTAGGAGCATCTCATCTGCTTTCAACTCTTGCTCCTTCAGCTGTTCCTCCAGGGCATTAGCTCTTTGGAGAAAAGGAAAGAAAAGGGGTTTAGCCAAATCTGACATTACACAGCTGTCCCACTGGCATTCAGATATTTTAGGGAGAGGGATGTCCTCCTTTCTTTTCACCCTCCTCCCCTCTTCCTCCTATTGCAAAGCCAGTAGAAGACACCATGGAGTTCGAAGATCATCATAAAAGGATCAGCATCTGTACAAGACAAAGAACAGGTACCTGCAAGGCACTTACAGACACCTGGGGGAAAGCAGCTAGCACATCCTCACAACCATCCAATCTCTGAGCACTCTGTGATGCTGAATCACTTGGAAGCCACTGCCTATTTGGCATTTAAATCACTGGGAACCCAGGCAATGGATGCTGGTATCCTATCATCACAGGTTTCTACAAGCTTCAGTGGTCACATTAAAACTAACCAAAAGGAGGAATGAAGCGAGGATTGAGAAGAAAACAAAGTAAAAGATTATCTTAAAACTTGTGTCTTAGTAGGTAGCAGAGTCATAGTACTGCACAGAATAAGCTACTGAGGCTAATTACTCTAATTAATTAATTATCTTCCTTTTCACCTGGGTTTGTAGTGGAGTATGAAATTCACATGCCACTTATGGGTAATTCCTTTGGGCACCAGCATCAGTGATAATTGTATAGCTCTAGGAATACAATATTTGGCTGTCTGCATGTTGCCAATAAATTAAGCAGGGCCTACATAACAATGATTATTTAATTGTTGCAGAGAAATATTATAATACAAGACAGAGAGGATGTTTAATAGATGTTGGGATTTGTAAGACTTCTAGCATTTATAATAATTTTAAATTAAATCAAATCTAGGACCTAAAGAAAGTGACCATTTCCCTCTGAATTCTCAATCACCAGGGGAGTAGGGAAGGTTTATTTTTCCAGGCCACATCCATAACTGGCAAACATTTTTAATGTCACATGGTTCTCAATGGAGCACACGAGTCTCAGAAGACATTCAAGCAGTGGACAGATGTTTGCTGTTAATCTGCTCCCTCAAACCTGTCCTTGGAAGCAGGTGAATAAATAGTGTACAGAGTGGCTGTCATTTTATGACCTTTGATTACATTACTGTAAAGCTGCTTCTGCTTCCCAAAGCAGTGCACTATGAACCATCTTCAGCATCAGCAGCTGGGAAG